CCGTGCTCCAAAAAGCCCCAGGCCTAGCACACAGGTGAGGGGTTTTAGAACCCACTCTCACCTACCCCGAACAGGTTCTTCCGGTCCCAAGAAACCAGCCACAGATCCCAGGTCAATTTACCCTCTGGATCTTACCCACAAGACCACACTGAGCCAGTCCTTTAGAATCTAAACTCTAAAGGTTTATTACTGCAAGAAAGAAAAGCATGAGAGTAAGGTTGCTAAAGTATCATACATTACATGCATCGAATCTCCCAGTTCTCGATGCAGGCTTGCAACAGAGATGTTATCACTGCTGGCTTAAAAGTCTTTGGTGAACATCCTACGTCAGGGTGGGTCCACAGTTCTTTCCAGCTCCTCGATCCCTGCACTCGTGCCGCTGGGATGAAGAGCTGAGCTAGGCACAAAATGGAGGATGCCACATGGCCTCTATATACCTTCTTCCCCGTCTCTTCTTGTCTGCAGCAGGTCACTTGGACAGTGGCCTATCCCTGTGTTCCCTGCTGGTAGCCCTTAGGTATCAGTCACCATTCTTGAGGTGTATCCTTGGCCTATAGAGGGCTATTATTCTATAGCGACTTGCTCATTAGCATGTCCATAGGCCGAGCTTTGACCATTGCTCAACCACATACCAAGAAACATTCAGGCTGTGTCAACATTGGCGCGATCTTGTGCCAAAGCGGCTGCTTTTTCACAAAAACGTGCTGCCTGTCTACATTGGCGGGGAGTTCTTGCGCAAGAACACTGACGTTCTAATGTGTAAAATCAGGGCTTCTTGCACAAGAACTATGATGCTCCCACTCAGGAATAAGCCCTCTTGCACAACTTTTCTTGTGCAAGAGGCCAGTGTAGACAGGCAACATGAATTTCTTGCGCAAGAAAGCCTGATGCTTAAAATGGCCATCGGAGCTTTCTTGAGCAAGAGAGCGTCTACACTGGTACGGATGCTCTTGCTCAAAAACACATCTCTTGTGCAAAGGCACATGCCAGTGTAGACACTCTCTTGCGCAAATACTTTAACACAAGAACTCTTGCATTAAAGAGTATTTGCGCAAGATCATGCCAATGTAGACGTAGCCTCAGCATCCACACAAAGTACATGCTTATCACTTCACACACAGACATTATACAATTACATGAATAGCATATATGGAAGCAGAAGAAAGTGAGCTTCTATTTGACACCGCACAGGAACCCCTTTGTACCACTTTTGGGGCCAACACCCTCCCATGGGTGCAGCAGTGATCTGGCTGCTTCCCTAAAACCCAATAACGTGACACCCACCCAAACTTTTTACACCATATCCATGTGCTTTCTGGTCTCAGAACAAATCTATGTCACGCTCCGTATCTAAATGTTGCTGCTTCTCCTGGCTTCTGTTTCCAGTATGAAAGGACTTTGGGGCTGGCTTAGGATGACCAGTGGACACTGTAGATTCTCATGGCTTTGATCCTTTCAGAACTATGGATCTAGGGTAGGTTAGACTAGATTAGGCTGCACTGGTACACCTGGGGATGGATGGGTAGATTTGGGGTAGGTATGAAGGTAGGGACCCAAACCTGGCCACCACATCGGAACACCCCTGAGCTTTCCAGGTATTCTAAATAAGTCCAGATGCCATCTTTCCAGGTGATCCTTACCTTTAGTATCCAATCCCAGCCTCGTACATGCTTGAATAGTAGGATGTTCAGCCGCTGTCCATCTGCCTTCTCATTTATTTTGCTAGCAGCCAATTTACAGACTGCCAATGCTGGAAGGTTAAGAGAAGTCACAGAAGGCTGGTTTCGGAGCTTCGTTGCTTGGATGCTGTAGGGGGGAGGAGACCTGGGGGGGAGAATTTCAAACTGGCCTTTAATTAGGCAGCCCATATTGGCCTCCTCCGCAGACCAACCTGCTCTACACGAAGTCTGCCTCCTGGCTCTGCATCTTTTCCTCCCCCTCCTCTGCTTTCCCTTTTTGGATGGCATTACAAACTCGCACCAGCACACGCCTGGAAGTGCCATTAACCTTTATTAATTTTCCCAGGGTTCCCAGGACCGGATTTCTCACCGTTTTCAGCCCACAGCAGCACACTTGAAAGGCCGAGAGACTGTTGTGTCTCCATGGGACAGAACGACCCTCTGTCTGGTGTATTCTGTTTGGAAACAAACCGGTTGCCTGATCAGAGCTTGTGCGGGCCGAATTCTGTTCTCCATTAGGCTACGTCTACACTACAGGGCTTTGCCAGCAGAGAGTATGCTAATGAAGTGCTCATTAGCATTTGTCGCACTGTCATTAGCATATTCTCTGCCCAAGGCTCTTTGCACAAGAGGTTTTGCACAAAAACAAGCCATGGAGATGGATCAGTGTAGACTTCCTTTTTTGAGGCATAAGGATCTTGCGCAAAAGGGAGGTTTTGCGCAAAACGAATCCTTCTACACGGCTTGTTTTTGCACAAAAAACTCTTGCGTAAAAAGCCTCGGGCAGAGAATATGCTAATGACAGTGCGACAAATGATAATGAGTGCTTCATTAGCATACTCTCTGCTGGCAAAACCCTGTCGTGTAGACGTAGCCTACTTGGATAAAGTAAGCGGAGCTATTTCAGACTGACACCAGGATAGCTGAGTGTAGAATTTAGATCTTAGCAAATCTTTCTCCCATTGCTGGTTCCCCCTAAAGGCATCTGCATGTAGAACCCGCTGTTCTGGGTGTGCAACATGCCGGAGGCAGAGAGGAGATGAATCTACCTCAGGACTCAGGAATCTACCTCCAGGCATGCTCAGGACTTAACATGAGGAGCAAAGTCAAATGCGACATAGAATCCTAGAATCCTAGGGTTGGAAGAGACCTCAGGAGTCATTAAGTCCAGCCCCCTGCCCAAGGCAGGACCAATCCCAACTAAATCAAGCCGGCCAGGGCTTCATCAACTTAAAAACCTCTAGGGATGGAGATTCCACCCCTTCACTAAGGAACCCATCCCAGTGCTTCACCACCCTCCTAGGGAAATAGTTTTTCCTAATGTCCAACCTAGACCTCCCCCACTGCAACTTCATTTGGGAAACAAATTGAGAAAATATAAATGAGAAAATATAAATGTCCGGTATTTTCTAAACATGAGTTAAGCTGTCGCGAGCAAAGGCCACCTGCTTCTGAAAAGAGCATATTCACGTGGGCTTCATGCGTTTTAACTACTGTGCTGTAAATTGGTGACTTTGGCGTAACTTCCCCGAGTGTCCCCGTGTAGATGTGCCCTCGAAGCCTGATCCAAAGTGCATTGAACCCCGTGGGCGCGCTCGCTGGGTCCATTGTGCTTTGGAACAGTGTTAGTGTCCTTCAGCTCCACTAGCAGAGACTTGTGCTCCTCGCCTGGAGGTTCGGGGCTCGATGAGTTCATCTCTCCCCTTTGCCAGTCACGTGGTGGGAGCTGGCCATGCTGTGCCCTCCCCGCCCACTTCTCCCCTCCCTCTACACATCTCCCTGTTCTCCAGAGCCCACCCCCTGTCTGCCCTTGGCCTCTCCAGGAGGCCCGGTCGCTAGCTGCAGAGCCAAACCAGCTCAGGAAATAACCCAGGTGAGGGGATGTGTTAGGCTAATAGCATCAAGACCAAGCTCCTATCTAGCGTTTTCTATTAGCGCTCAAAGTGCCGAGGAGGGCAAGGTGAGCCTCATTATCCGTGCGTCGCAAGGCAAGCCAAACCCCAGCATGCGCCATGACAGCCGTGGGCACCGGCTTGTCTTAGTGGCCTGCTAAGAAGGTTTCTTTTTCGTGCTCCGCACTAAACCTCCCTTTCGATTCCTCCAGAGAAGGGCAAGGAAACCTCACGAGTCCTTTGAAAGTCTCAGAAGGGGAGCCAGGTTAGTCTGGAACTTTAAAAACAGCGAGTAGCCCTGTGGCACCTTAGAGCAGGCGTGAGGAACGTCTGGTCCAGGGGCCGGATGCGGCCCGCGGCTTCCCTGGATCTGGCCTCCGTGGCTCAGGGACAGCCCCAACACTGGGGGCCCCACACTGGTGATCAAGCCCCTTTGCTGCCCCACCGTGGGGCTGGAACACACAAAATCCACAAGGCTGGGTCCCCCTACGCTGTGGTGTGTGAGGGGAATGTGGAGAGTGACTTTCTCTGTCTCAGTCGGGAGCCATGTCAGTGAGGGATTCGGGTTGGGTTTTTTGGCTTCTCACTTGTGTGCAGCTCCCAATTGATTTTTCTGTGGGTCAGTGGCCCCGACCCAAAAAAGGTTCCCTACTCCTGCCTTAGAGACAAACAAAAAATATTTCATATCAAGAGATTTTGTGGGCAAAACCCCACTCCAGCTCATCTGAAGAAGTAGGTTTTGCCCACAAAAGCTCATGATATTATCTAGATTTTTGTTAGTCTCTGAGGGTACATCTAGACTACATGCCTCTGGCGACAGAGGCATGTAGATTAGGCTACCCGGCATAGGAAAATTACCCGGCATTTAAATTAAAATGGTTGCCATGCTGTGCCGATCAGCTGTTTGTCAGCTCAGCGCGCTAGTCTTGACGCTCCGTGATCGACATCAAAGGCATTTGTCGACCTCCCCGGTAAACCTCATACCACGAGGCATACCAGGAAGGTCGACAAATGCCTAGACTAGCGCGCTGAGCCGACAAACAGCTAATTGGCTCAGCGCAGCAGCCATTTTAATTTAAATGAAGCGGCGATTATTTAAATTGCCGCTTCATTTTCCTATGCCGGGTAGCCTAATTTACATGCCTCTGTTGCCAGAAGCATGTAGTCTAGACATACCCTAAGGTGCCACAGGACGATGCGTTGTTTTAAAACCTCTTTGAAAGCTGTTAAGTGATGCTTAGGGGACGGAGGACCTGGGTTGCCACACTTCTACATGCGAAAGCCGATGGCGGGAGGAGGGGAGTGTGCGAACTGCCTCGCGAACGGGGCTTTTGCACTTTGCTGTTTGTTGTCTCACGTGTAACGCTGTAGTGAAAGATCTTACCGCCTGAACCCAGGTTTATTTACCTGCCCCATTGCCTTGCCGTAGCCAACGGACGCTATAATTCCAGAAGCCAGTCGCTGAGGTCCACAGATAACAGGAAGCGAGAGGATGCTGACGAACTGCAACAGTACGGCTACCCGGCACCGCAAATAGGTAAGCTCCGAACTCCAGCAGAAACTTCGGTGGGGCTGGGAGGCAGCTGGATTTCCAGGCAGAGTGTGTGTATGTGCGTGTGTGTGTGTGTGTGTGGGGGGGGGGTCTTCAATGATCTAAAGAGCCAGCTGACTGTTTTCCTTTCCAGGGGACAGACAAAGACATTAGGGGGACAGTCATGGCTCAGCATAATCCCACCGAATGGGAAGGCCTCCGAGTCAATCCACAGTCAATCCACCCAGCTCAGTCCGTGTGGCTCTGAGTCCACCTGCAGCAGGAGCGATGCTCGGAATCCCCACCGGCTATCGAGCTGACCCTGGTCAATGGTTCTGATTGGCTGTGGGTCCATTAAGGCCTGGCCGGGACCTTACAAGGCTGAACTCAAAGCGGATGCACATGCCATGTTCTGCCATTGATCTCCAAGGATGTGTGGGGGCAGGGGTGGGGGAGAGGCGGACATCTGTGTAGGCGTTGTCCTGACGGGTTCACGTCTGTGTGGGAAAGGGTGGCTGAGCGGGTTAGGTAGCACGGGGATGGCAGGTTTCCCCCTTCCCACCTCTCCCCCCGTTTTCCAGCAGTCGGGAAATAATGTCAGTTCCCTTTAGGCGCCTGTGCTCCTGGTGGTGGGAGGAGACTTCCCACGCTCCCCGCCCACCCCCAAGGTCAATCAGGGTGTGGGGGTGGCAGCCCCTTGCAGGACGGGAGAGACTTCGGGCGCTTCCCCACGCCCCCAGGCCCTGACTGGCTTGGAGGCGGAAGGAAGGGAGGGAGAGTGCAAAGTCTCTTGCTCCCTGCCCTTTGGTGCATGGCACATAGAGTCAACTGCCAGGGTTGGCTCTCAGCGTCCTGCACTCCCTGGCCCCTAGGCCCTGATTGGCCTGGGGTCGAGGGAGCCGCAGGACCTCCATGGGTCAGATCAACCCGCTTGGTGAGCCGGATCCAGCCCGTGAAGGCCCTTTTGCCCACCTCTTGGTTAGACCCATGCCGGTTTACGCCTCTTGGGATCTGCTCCCTTATCGACGTGCAGCACAGTGCAAATGTTTCCAAGGCTGCCAAGGCCAATGGGACAGGGCTGAGGTTGGGTGCTTTCCCCAGGGACACGGTGAGGGTCTGAATTTTCTTGAGAGTAGAAGGTGCTGGCTTTCCCTGATCTCTGTCTCAGCCGCTGAGCCGCCGACAGCGCGGGGGTGGTGAGTGGTGTGTGGCGATGGAAACCAAGCAGCATCTGGGCAAGGCTGTTTGTGATTAAGAGGACAGCTTTGCATGACCAGGATGATGGTGCCTCAGGGCGGAAGCTGAATTGCTGGAGACTGGTTCAAAGCACAAGAAAGAGCGTGAGACACAAAGGTGCGGCAGAAAGGAGGGGAAGTGTAGCAAATTGCACCTCACTTCTGTGGCCTTCTCTTCACTGCGTGACCTCAGGAGTTTTACTGCCGGCTAAGGCCACTCGAGAACAACCCTGCGCGAATGCGGTTTATTTGGCGCTGTGGTGGGCCCAGGCTATTAGAGACACAAGCTGGGCGGGGAATATCTTTTATTGGACCATTCTCTGTTGGTGAGAGAGAGGCTGTGCGGAGCTACACAGAGTTCTCCCTCCCGCCTGGGAAATAGCGTCACAGCTAAACACAAGAGCAAGCTGTCTCAGGGTATGTCTACACTACAGCGTTATTTCGAAATAACGCGTCTACACACAAAATGCCTTTCTATATAGCTTTTTGCTATTTTGAAATAGTGCGTCCACGCTGATTGGATGCTGAATCACATTTAAGGCCAGACAGAACTAGTTCCGGCAGGGCATCAGGTCAGAAGTTATCTTGTGGCCAGAGTGGCCAGCAGGGCACCCTGGGAAGGACTAGAGGTCCCCTATTTCGAAATAAGCGTCTACACAGTGCGTATTTCGAAATAGCAATTTCAAAATTGGCACTATTCCTCGTGGAATGAGGATTACCAATTTCGAAATAAGCCCTCTGCTATTTCGAATTAATTTCGAAATAGCAGTTGGCTTGTGTAGATGCGAGGAAAGTTATTTCGAAATAACTTTGCTGTGTAGACATACCCTCAGAGGGGGAGCCGTGTGAGTCTGTAACGTTAAAAAAAACGAGTGGTCCTGTGGCCCCTTGGAGACTAACCAAAATATTTAAAGTATCATGAGCTTTCATGGGCAAAACCCACTTCTTCAGAGCTGGACTGGAAATAACAGGAACCCAGAATTGATAACAGAAAATGAGGTGGAGGGGGAGTAAAACAAGATCAAACGAACTCAAACAAGATCAAACCAATCACTTAGCATATTCCAAGGGCCCTTTCAAGGTAAAGTGGACTGTTAAAACCCCTGAAGTCCTAGGACAAGCAACCCAGCGGGGGTTAGTGGGTTCCAGGTTGTTATAATCAGCCATAAATCCAGTGTCTTGGTTAAGACCGTGGTTTTTAGCATCCCACAAAGTTATGAATTTAAGCCCCCAGGCCTGTCTTTTGTGCAGGTTTCCTTGGAGGTCCAGCGCGCAGAGTCTTGTGCGGAATGAATTTTGTTATGCGCACCAGGGTGGAGGTGACGTGTGACACATAACATCCGTAAGGGTGCCCTTCGTAAAACTCATTCCACACATGGATGGTGTTATGGTGCTGGTGATAGACAGCCCATCATTAGTCAGAAAGGAGCCACTCATCACGTGGCGATGAGGAATACCTGGTCCCAGATGGTCACCTTGTCGGTCCTCAGGCAGAACAAGCTTGCTCCCCACAGTATGTTCTCTGATGCTCTGGCCCAGGACCATTGCAGGTGACTCAGAGAGTGAGCCGTTCCTATAGGATGTGATGGTTACGGTTACATGGGTTGCGCCGCACCCAAATATCGTGGCCAGGTGGCCATCGGAGCACCAGCTTGTAATATTAAACCGGGACTGCTGACTGCACAGAGGCAAGGGGAAGTTGGCATGTGAACAGGGAAGGAACCAGCATGTTGGAATGGATCTCGGGTCCCCAGGTTGCATCTGGAAATGGCCTTTCACAAGGGGAGAGATTGGTGGAGGGACCAGAGTTCCCAAGGGTTCGATTTTCTTTTTGTGAAACAGCAAGAGCAACAATCGTTTCCTGTCAATCCAGGCCTGGGCTGCTGAGGTAGGGGAAGAGAGAAAAAGGGGGGCTGGCTGGTGCAGTGGGGGGGAGGGAGAAGGGGCCTGGGCTGGCGGCCACAGCTCGGTTCTCCCCGGTCTCTGGGGGTGGGGGGAGAGCTGGGGTTGCCTCCCCCCCGCAGGAGGGGGGCTGGCAAGCGCAGCGAGCAAGGGGCACAGCCACCTAGTATATATGTATATCGATATTTTTAAAATGAGGAACGTTCCAGCTCTCACAGAAAAATCCCCTCCTCCCCCCAAACGCCCTTTCCCTTTGCATCCATTCGGATCTGGCTGTGTACTGGGAATCTGCTGAAAGCAGCAAACCTGCAGGAGCCGGTGAGCCAAGGTCACCTTTGTCATGCCTGCGATGCTGCAGGAGAGGGGACACCCAGGCGCCGGCTGGTCTTGCAGAGCAAGGAGGGTAAAAGCCAGGCTGCGCGACACTGTCACGGATGAGATACACAGCCTGAGTCTGGCCGTGCTGCCTGTTGGGATGCGCAGGCAGCAACCCCTTGCAAGCAGCCGTCTTCCCGTCTAACCTAACGTGCCAGGCCAGCTGCGAGTTTCTCCTCGTCTGTGGAGCGCTGTAGCCAGCTGCCGGGGCGGTGACGCTGACAGAATTTTGAGCCGCACCTCGGCTAACTCCCTCCTCAGCAAAACACATGCAGCTGTGCCCGACAAAGGACGCGAGGAAGCTGCTCCCCTCAGCCATCTGGGGAAGGGGCTCTCTGCAGTCTGCTGACTGGCACAGGACTTCCCAGGGCCCGGCCCGTCTCCAGCGGATATTGTAGCCGAGTCCTTTGCAGCTTTTGCTTATGCCGCAAAACCGGCCGCTCCTCTGACAAAGCGACTTGCCGCCCGTAGGAAATTAATTAAGCATCCCGGGCGCACATGTGCACTCACGTCCTGATTGGATGGGGGTTTTTTAAATTTGTTTGTCAAGACAAATTCCCATCACAATCAGCACCCGCGGCTAAGGCCACCTCGCAGCAGCTGTGACTGTTTCTCATTGTTAAATCCAGCAAAGCGATGTCCTCGACTCCCGCTTCTTCTGCAAGCGTAGGACGGACACACATAACTCTCTGTGAAATCAACAGCAGACACCACTATCCCACGGGCAGAGAACAGGGCCAGGGGAAGGAGTCAGCAGGGTTTCCCATTTTATCCTCCGTCTTCCACCTTTTTCCTTTCCCTTTATCCACCTCCTATAAAACTGGGGCGGATATAACAGAGAGCATGTCTAGACTACACCTCTCCGTCGACTGAGATGTAGATTAGATACTTTGAAATTGCTAATGAAGCAGGGATTTAAATATCTCGTGCTTCATTAGCATAAACATGGCCACCGCTTTTTTTGAAACAGAGCTTTTTCAAAAAAAAAAAAAAACCCGGCAGTCTAGACGCGGATCTTTGGAAAATACAACCCTTTTCCGAAAGACCCTGTAAACCCTGGAGATCCTGGAACAGTATCTTGTGCCCAGCTACCACACTAATGAGACCCTGGAAATAACTAGATGGATTCACAGGCCCTACACTGGCATAAAGAGATGATGGATGAGCTAATTGGGGCTGGATTTAGGGGCAGGCAACCTAGGTGACCACTTGGGTTGCTGGGGATGGAGGGACTGAGCTCAGAGAGCTGTTTTTGTTGTTAGCCACAAAAGGGAAACAGAGCATTCGAAGTAAAATGTTTCTGGTACTCCTTATGTGGGCTCAGTTTGCACTAGCCTCCAGAATGTTCTGGACCTTTGTAGAATCTCCCGGAACTTTCCAGACTCTGAGAACTTCATTTTCCTCACCCCTCCATTTTCCTCACCCAGTGGGTATAGAAGGGGCCGGGCAGTCTTATGTCAGGGATAAATACTGGCTGCAAATGGTGTGTCAGAG